ATGTACATATATACATATATTTCTCCTGCTGTACAAAATAAAGGGAATTCTGAATTGCTCATTATCATATTTGAAAGAATATTTACTGTCAGAAAATATTAAATCCTTACATGTGATGCCTCATACCTATCGCTGTGAGGGATACACGCTCCTGGGTCATTAGTTCTCTAAGGGTAGCGTCCATAGAACCAGTAGCATCAGTGTCACCTGGGAACTTGTTTGAAATGGTTTCTCAGACCCACCTTGGTCTCCTGAATCAGAAGTCCTGTGAGTGAGATGCTGTGATTTTTATTTTAACTACTCTCCTGACATTTCTGTTGGATATTCAAGTTGAGGACTATCAAACTAGTATTTAAGAAGATACTAAAATTCTGTTTCATCATCTGTATTTTTTTTGTTGTTTCTTTGATAAGATTAATCAATGGACAAACCTCTATTTACAATGATGAACTGAGTAGTAAAAGATTAAGAATGGACATAATACCAATAAAAAGCATGGATAGGGTGGTATCTATATATCTACAGTTATTAAAAATATAACAAAATCTCTGACAATAAACTTAACAGCTTGCATGAATTAAAAGCCATTGGAATATACAAATTTCCAAATTATACAGAAGAAATAGAAAAATATGAATAATCTTACATCTATAAGATAAATTAGATTCCTAATTTAAAAACAAACACTAATCCATTAGTCTCTTTGGAGAACTCTATGGAGTATTTGAGCATTTTAGGAAAAGTAACATTTTACATAATTTAGAAAAGAAAGTATTTTAAATTTCCTTGATCAGTACGATCCTAACAGCAAAACTGAAAAACAAAAAATCCAAAACAAACAATCTTAAGAAAAGAAAATTGTTCATGCAAATTCCTCTTATTTGCAAGTTTTGTTGAAATAAAATCACCTTCATATGAAGTCACCTGCTCTTCTTGGCATTATGTGATACATGACAGAATGTTAGGTGTGAGCATATGCATGTGTGTGTACTATATACACAATCACATACATATATTTTTCTTTTTCTGGCTAAGTATCATTGCAAAAGCAAACTTATTGTATATAAGTTTATCTGTGCTTTTTAAAAATATATTTTATCACATAGTAATCATGCATATTTATGTGATACCGTGTGAGGTCCAATGTGTAATGTCAGATCAGGGTGATTGGCATATCTGTTCTCTATCATCCATATGTTTAAAATAATATGTACAAATGTTTGATTTAAATGTTTTATTAAGATTGGGTGTATTCTGAATTTAAGACTTTGTTTTCCCTACTGCTTTTAATCTTAAAGTGTGTGATATTATATAATCTATAATCTTGGGGTTTGTATACATGGGTATGAATCTGTAGAGCATGTCAGTGCTACCTTGTCAGTATGAGTGACAGTTCCCCACCAGTACCATAAATGTGTGTCTTGCTAGAGTGTGTGTAGAGAAAAAATGGCAAGGTATTGGCTTTCTGGATCTCTGGCTTCATCAAGTGCTAAATAATTGAGTGAGATGCTTACATAAATCCTTTTCTGCTGTCAGGCCAGATATAAAATTACAATAATTAATGGGTCTGAAAACTGTTTCAGCAGATGTATCAAAAATGATAATTTTAATTCTAATCATCTAACTACATGCTCTTTAATCTTTTTCTTACAATAGCACCTGTAGAAAGGTGATATTTATATGATGCACTTGTATAAACAACCTAGAGGCAGAGAGTAGTAAGGAAGAGATTGATTTACTATTTTTCAGTATCTGTCTGTGATCAGAACAGGCAGAAGGCCAGAGTTTCAGCTGCCTCATTTTAAAATTATACAAGTTATGTTATTATATTGTAGTATATTTTATATATTATTTATTTTACCTTGTTTCTCAGTCCTGTAGTCTTTAGATGTATGTAGATTTTCAGCTATGCTGTTTAAAATGCATTTGTGTGGTCTGCTATAATATACAATGTTAATGGTTTTTATAGAAAAAAGTCTACTTTCTTTTTATTAGCTTTATGTAAGTAATTGTATCTATATTCACTTTTATGTTTAAATTCTGTTTTCATCACTTATGTTGACTTGACTGAGTCCATCCATTGTCTGTCTGTCTAGGCGTTGGATCACCATAGGGAAACCTCACTTGGTTGCCATTCAATACCTGGTTAGACAGTGACCCAAATCATGCTGCATTAACTGAACAATTAGTTACCACCTCCTCCTTAAATTCCAACAACTCCTCTTTTAGAAGAGAGCTTCACTTCAGACAGGGTCCTACCACACAGAAAAAGAAAAATTAGCACTTTTCTATGCAAACTTCTTTTCTTTGCACCACGAATCCTACAACTTTACTTGGAATTATGACTTTGCTCCTCTTCTCTTTTTCCTATAAAAATGGAAGACATACTCGCTTCTGTCCAAGACTCATCTCATCGTGTTGATCAGGTTTCCACCCTTCCTGCTTCTTAGGGATCTTATTTTTCTTTGCTAGCTCTCTAATAGCTCATTAACTCCCATCAGCAAGTTCTACTCTATACTAATCTTAGAGAAAAAAAGCAAATCTAATCTTCCCATCTATCTTTACTTTCTTCCTTAAATGAATTGCCTCATATACACAGTGTCTTTTCTCACACACCCCACACCTTCTTAGATAGGCACTTTCCCTCTTGAGCTACTCCACCAGTCCTCCACACCTTCTTAAACCTGCCTCCTTCTTCCTGCTCTTTCATGGAAGCTCTCTTAACGTGTGTTCTGTCTTTAGTCTACATCTCTTAATGTCTTACAGTATTTGTCTGAGGATTTTTTTTGACTCACCCACTTCCCTTGACTTTCATAGCTCACATTCTAGCAGCTTGATAGCCCAGTATTTATTTGGTTCCCAGATGGTAGTAACAAAGCTTTTAAAAAATAAGGATATGGTGTCCCCTTTGAGTTGCTAGTAGATATTAGAAAGAAGAGAAGGGCAGGATATCATCGCCATCACTGGCACAGACAGTACTGCCAGCCCTTCTCATCCTTTCACCCATAAAATTGGCATAAAATTGGCCTCACACTGACAAATCTGATTGAATATCTAGAAAGTAATCCTCAGGGAACAGAAAATTTGGTCTTTGTACAAAGTTGTAAAATTGGATTATTATTATTTTTTCAGGTCCTTTTTGTTTCTTCTTTTGCAGTACTTCAGAGAAGTTGCTACAAAGGTGTATCTGATGTGGTCTAAATATAACCACATAAGCAGTAACTAAGTTCATCCATTTCAAAATATGGATGCATGACATCCTGGTAGACTTATGAGTGCTGTTGAAGGATTAAGATTGATTTAATGAAAAGAAACAGGCTGTTTTCTGCTAGGTGATCAAAGCAAGAGGCGCTGTTTCCTTATAGACACTTGTCTTCCTTCTGTGAAAAAAAAATAGTATACAGAAAAAAAGATGATAGAGTAAGGATGAGTGAAGAGGGAGGCAGAAAACCATAATTAGTTTTCTCAATGGTAGCTAACTATGAAGTTGTGGTTGATTGAAGGGATATTTTTGAATATTCAGATTGGAGACTCATTAATTCCATTACTTATGAGAAGGGACAAGTCTATGTTTTTACATGATAATTTGGTTATATGGCCATTGTTTTTATATTAATTTATCAGCATAGTAACTTTTGCTTAATATTTCATGAATATTCTGTCAAACACTTCATTTTAAGAGGTTCAAATCTAAGCAGCTATTATCATTTTGGTAAAACTACCACATAAACACACGTGCCACATTTTCCAGTTGTGAACATAGTTATCCACAGGACAGTAGTGTCTCAGGATTTTTAGGTTATCTATAATGCATTTCTCATTCATTTCAGAAATGTATGTTTTGTCTTACACAATTTTTATACATATGTCTTATGATTTATTTTTATTTATGTGGAAATTTTCATTCTTTTAATAATTAGTAAAAAGTTTAATTGTTGAAAGCATGCTGTCTTTTCAAGTCAAAAAATCTCTGAAAAAAATTCTGTTGAACTTAAGTGAAAATAGGAGGAGGTAGCTTGTTCTAAAAATGCTGCTAGACATTTATTGAATTTTGGAATTAACACTTAGGAAACTTTGCAGTTTGGAATTGTACCTTTTTAAAGCACTGTAGAATAGTGGACATGGTGTAATAGAGCCGTGACTGCTAGTGACTGGATACAGAAAGTAATATCTGTAATCCAAGCCCTTTTATATGGGGTGAACTTCAGACCTGAAATTATCAGCACTTACTGCTCATATTAGTTTATTGTGAGCTTTCAAAAGTTTTTTTTCAGAAATAGTATCAGTCCACTGTATGTTATCCTTTTTGAACACATTTGAAATATTCACATTTGTTGTTGGGCAGAATTAAAAACACGAGTACATAACTAAAATATTTACTCGTGCTAATTAAAACTAAGAACTTCAATTAATTACACTAAGTAAAAGAGAAGTAGTGTGAGAAGTAAGGAAAATGAAAAATTGTGAATAGTTGTAAAATATTTTTAAATTACTGTTGTGCTGTGTGGGAGTACATTGTAGCATTTACAGAGGTTCTTACAATTTATCAAATATACTTGAATTTGATTGGGATTTTAAATGGAAATTTAAGGTGATGTGTTTTGGTTTAGTCTCTGAAAGCTGCAATATATTTGATGATGTATTTAATATATTTAGACTTTTATTTTCAAGTTAAAAATCAGTATTTTTGTAAGTATAGTTAAGATTGAAAATTCAGTGTTCAGAATCTTAAAATCAAGGCATATAAATGAGTTAGTAAAAGAAATGATTTTCAATAACTTGACCTTCATTTGACCCTATCTCAAAGATCATTAAAAGGTCAAAATATTTAATTTCATAAAGAAAGAAATGTGAACCTGGCCAACTATGCTCCTTTAAGTCTTTAAAGCAAAAATTAAAACTTGGAATTGAAACAGCCTTTTTAAAGAGTATTTTAGCAAGACTGTTGCTTTCAGTGTTTCCTTTGTGTCTTTTTAATGCTATGTGTCAATTATTTGCAGATCCTGTGGTGTTGTGGAAGTTTCCTGAGGACTTTGGAGACCAGGTTGGGAACACATAATTTAAAAAACTCATTTTAAATTGGAATATTGTGGTTATTATTACTCTTAACTGCTGCTAATACTACTACTGCAAATGAATGCTATAATTTTTATTTCTTAATCAACCATGAGGGAAAAAGCATGTGTGGAGAACGTGTGGAAGTTACACGTGGATAAGAGGAGAAGCACTTCATGTTGAAAGTAAAGGAGTCGGTCAGAAGACCAAGGAAGCAAGCCCTTTAAACCTCAGGGAACCTTAACAATTTTCATAGCTTCATTCAAAGGCAGATAATATCCCAAAAGACAAAGGTCACATTTTGTTTCATTGTGCTCTCATATTCAATGGTATACTGATATTTTAAGTTGTTGTAATTCAATCATCATCACTATCACTTTTACTTGTGCTAATGTGCCCTGAGTTCATGAGCACTGCTGCCGAACGATTTCATAGGTCTTTAAAAAATTTTAGTAGTGATACATAAACAGTACCTCTTTAGAGTCAAGTCCCAAGAATGTAAAAGAGTCCAAAATTTCAAAAAGAAAATATACATATCCATCATTAGAACTTTTTCTCTTAATTAACTTAAAAAGAATTTGGTCAATACAAAGTTTTTCATGATCTAGAACTGAAGGACATTAATAACTGGGAATTTTATAGTTCTTTTAAAAAGAATAAACAGGCATTCTTCCTAAACCATATGGAACGACCATTAGATGTTGAATATAAAAAGAAATTTGTACACATTCTTAGGCTGACAGCCCAAGAATGGCTTTGTTTAGGTCAAAACTATTTTTCTTCTTTGAGAAACAAAAGAACATGTCCAGTTTTATTCGTATGCTACTTTTGCTCCTAGTGTAGTGTTAAGCACTCACAGTAATTATAAATTTTAACCTAAGTAGCTAACTTTTGTTTGACAGAAAATAAAAAAAAAAGCAAGGAAAAAAACACAAGGAATGGATAACTAAGAGCTTTCAGTCACACACAAGTGTTTTAACTTCCAGAGCTGAGAAATAACTGGTAACACAGCTTGCTGCAGCCACCTGCAGGCTGACATCTTTGTAAAGTGGGAAAAGTGGACACCCTTGTTAATATCACTCAAAGTAGCTTTCTTATAGCATACAAAGATAAGAAAAAGAAGGCTATAGACTTCAGTAATCTGATATTCTACCTTAGAAATTGTCTATTAATTGACTCAATTTAGTATCAGGTCAACATTTCAGTTACCTGATTTTTTTTGGAAATTATGTTTGACATAATACAAAATATCATTGTACCATTGGAATGAAGTTTGCATGAGCAATGATTAAATTTAGTTGAACAGAAATAGAAGATAGGACTGGGATGAGAGCTAGTCATCACCTAGGTCTCCTTCTAGCATGTGGGTATCACTGGGATTCCTGTGAGAGGCTGGTGGTGTAAAGGGCATGGAAGGTGATTCTTAAGACTCAGTCTTTCATCACTGAGCTTTTGCTTAAGTTGTTTGTCTTCTTCAAATGATTGTGGAAGGCATTGACATAAATATTTAGGGCAACTGAGTGTGACACCCTACTGTATTGCCCAGGAGGACAGAATGGTGAAATTATTTCATGATTTGAAGTTGAGGTAGAATGATCGTAGAATGTTATTTCTTTCATTTATTTAAAGATGTACTTAATTTTTAAATAAATGTATATTCAAGTTTGAATTCTGACCCAGTCAGATAAGGCCTTTTGTCATCAGAAAGTAAGTTGAGGTCCATGTGAGGCACTGAGGAAGTCATTCAGGAAATGGAAGGGTGAGATCACATTTCCTTCATACCCTGCCTTTTCTCAGGTCTTATTTCTCTCTCTCTCTCTCTCTCTGCGACATTTCTATTTTTACTTCCTTTCCCATTCTGTTTCTTGTTTTGTTTGGTCCAGTTTTCCATATTATTATTATTTCTTTTTTGGCAGTACTAGGGTTTGAACTCAGAGCCTCACATTTGCTAGGCAGGCGCTCTACCACTTGAGTCATGTCGCCACTCCTACATTCTCCTTATTCTTAAACCTGTTTGAAAATTAACTTTTCTTTGCCAGATTTCTGAATCTCCACAGCAACATGTCTATACTTTCATAGTCTCGTATATACCTCTATATTTTATTTCCTTCCTTCCTTTCTTCCTTCCTCCTTCCCTCCCTCCCTCCTTTCATTCACCTAGTTGACTCACTCATAGATCTAAGAAAGATGAAAGAACTCATGATAGGTTACTTTAATCACCTGCAAAAATAGAAGGCAAGTAATGTACTAAGAGGGTTGGGTTGAGAGTAGTGTGAAATTTGAATTCATTTAAATTTAGAAAGATTTCATACTGGTGTTATGACTAATATAAGGCTTCATTAAAGTATGAAGGAACAGGCATAGTTTGGCAAAGGGGTTAGGCAGCTGGAAGTTTAGTGTCCCGTGACTCGACTGTTCATGATGAGTGCCTGACTTGTGTGTTCTTCCTCACTCTCTTCATTTCTGTGGAAGGTAAAAATATTCTAAATTTCAGTGTGCATTGCAACTAGGTATGTGTTCACATGCAGGTGATAAAAATGCATTTGTGGTGGTAGTGGGGTGTGAGTCAGGGATTCACCAGAGGAGTTGAGGCCTGTGTAGGCATTGGGGAAGTCAAAGGTTGTGATTAAAAAAAACTTAAACTCACTGTGTAGCCCAGCCTGGCCTTGAACTTGCTTTTTTCCTGCCTCAGCATCCTGAGTGCTGGGATTATAGGCATGAACCACTATGTCCAGCAAAAATGCATTTAGAAATCCTATTAGAAAGTGTATTTGTTACATGAATACTTTAATTATAGCATAATAAAAATTTGTAAGTAAACCTTGGTTGAAATTATCTTAGAAACTATTTTTTTTTCAGTCCTGGGATTGAACCCAGGGCTTTACACATGCTAGGCAAGCTCTCTACCACTTGAGCTACACCCCAACCCCTGGAAATAGTTTTAATTACAATTCTAAGGGAACAGTAGTAAACAATTATATATTATATAATATTAGCAGAGCATCTTAAAGTTTACCCTTTGGATATATCTTTATTATAGTCTTTTACATCTGCTGATTATCTAATGTTAGAACAAAATTGCTCAGATTTGAATAAACCTCTTTTCATGTTCACCAGTGTCTAATAGTTTTTCTACATGGATAGGGAGAATGCCTGTTTTTTTTTAAGATTTACATATTCATCATTAATTTTTCTTCTTTATAGATTTAAATAGATAAATACAAAGTATTTCATGATTTAAAATCGAGGGAACCTAATACCTGGAAATTTTATAATTTTGTTTCTTACATTATTAGCCATAAAGACCTAAATTATTTGAATTACTCAGAAATGGTTTATTAAATTCTAATACTCTCAAATATTTTTAAACAATTATGTACTTTTAAAAGACCCTGAAGCTCTTCTTTTTTACTTGTTTGGGCTTGATTCTTCCATTTTTAATTATCAGCTGATTCTGTCAGACAAGTAAAAAGGTAATTTTATTGCATTTTCTATCAACTGTTGTTCTTGCAAATGGAGAGAATGAAATGCCCTAAACCCAGTTCTTGATGTGAGCAAGTAAATTTCTATTTCACTACTCCTATAAGTATATATATTCTATGTGAATACAATTCAAAGACAAATTAATTTGTTAATTCTTAGTGAAATAAAAATTTGTAAAGAGAGATGTCAGGTAATGAAAGAGAATTAATAATTATATCACAGCTGCCTATTCTATTTCATGCTCCAAAATTTTTTTCAGTGATCTATTTTAGTAACCCTAAAATGTTAAGCTTCGTGGTAGGTACACACAGTGTTGTGTCTGTAGTATCTTGCTATGTCTCGAAAAGAAGAGTAAAAATAAGAAATGTATATGGGGCAAACACATAGGAAAATGCATAACAGTGTGCTGATAAGATCATGATCATAACCATATTTTTATGTATCCATTGGATTTGTCTCTTGGGCAGGTGCAGTGTTAGAAAGCTTAATGAAAGACATAACTATATTCTTATTTTACCTGCATGCTTGTTTTTTTTTTATCTTGTATTGTTAAAATTTAAAAACTTTATTGCAAACATGGAAACTAATTTGGAAAAATAATAATATTTTAGAAATTTTGCTTTATGAATAAAGTCTTTCTTTATTGGAAAATAATACTAGTGTGCTTTAATAAATTTCTGTTGAAAAAGTATTTTTCAATATTATCAGTGTCAAAATATTTTGAATAAGAATAACATTTTTAGAAGTTATTTAGTGGAAATCAAATCTTTAAAAACTGACATAAACTTAGTATGAAGTATGTTACTTCCTTACTATAACTGTATACTGTTTTGAGAATGGATTTTGGGGTGACTTCTTTTTTAAGGATAGGTGTAAGTTGAAAGGTTTGGAAGGTATAGAATGAGTAACTATCCATATACTGTCATTTCACCTTCATATTTGGTAGTTGCTATTTTCCCTTTCTCTTTAAGTACATTATTAATAGATAAGCTTTTTAAAGCAATGTTTGGCAAGTAGCTCATCAACCTTTAAAATTTAGGCCTGAAATACAGTTGGGGGAAATAAGGGAACATGAGACACTTCACTATTAAAATTTTTAATTTAAAAAATATTCCAGGTTTGCTGAAAATTGAACTTGATCAACATATGGTGCTAGCTAGCCTCATCCCCACCCGTTCTTTTGTGATCTTGTTATTGTTATAAGGCTCAATGACAGTTGTAAGCCACAGTCCTGGATGTGGGGGTTAGTCCGCCCTGGGGAGAAGAAGAGGAAACTGCAGTGTGGATTATGGAAATATGGATTGATCTAAAAAGAGACCTTGTGTAAAAGAAGGGGGCTCAAAGGAAGGCTAGGAGAAGCTAATGAAAAGATGATGGGATATGATGTGAAAATGATCACTTCAAATCTTTTCTTTCATTCGCAGCTGCTATGTTTGGAGGAAAAGAAATGCATTTGTATGTTGAGGGACTGCTAAAAGCGTCCAGATGAATAGCATTATTTATTAG